ATAAAATATACTCACAATCTTGTAGAGAATAATACTTTATATAATATAATTAAATAAAAAAATATTTTTATTTATCTATGATTAACATTAACTAATTTTTTTTTAAAAAAAAATAAATAGAGGGTTGTAAATATAGAAAAAAAATATATATTTGTTTATTGAGGGATTATATATATAAATAGAAAAGTTTTGAGTGGAATGGGAGAGAGAGAGAAATTAAGACGGTTTTGAGTGAGATTGAAGAAAGATAAAAGTTTAGGGGGTTTTGAGTATATGTACATGTAAGATGTTATAAATTTAATCAAGTCGATTTACATCTTTGGTGGAACCTAAAATTCAGAGGCTCGAAGACCGTTCGTCAATTCCGTCGGTTTGGGTTCCGGAAGTACTCCAAAGAGTCTCTCTGTCGTCGTATTGGGGGCGGCTTCTTCGGTGGAGCCTGCATGGTTTCGAGCCTATATGAGGTTTCGAGCCTAAACGACCGATTTCGATGGATTTAAACTAACATCTACTAAAACTGGATAAATCTACTAGAAAACGGATAAAAATATGTTGGAAACATAAATTAGCAATAAATTAAGATAATCTTCTAAAACTTCTGGATAAACTAGTAAATGATAAAAGACTTGCAGATGATATCTATGTGTGTTCTTGTCCTGTGTTTGTTCCTTTCCATCAGCTCCCAACTGCTTCCGTTGCCTCTGAACCGACTTCCACTTGCTCTGAACTTCTTCCATTGCCTCTGGATTGGATCTACTGCTTACCCCGACTTGCTTCCATCGTAATCTTAGCCGTCCACGGGAATGTGTCCTCAACAGCCTTGAGTTACATGGAATCTTCATTCTTCTTCCTTTTGTCATAACCAATATAAAAAAACAACATCTCAAATTTAAAAATACAAACAAACACACTTTTATTTTTTATATTATATAAAAAGTTAATTTAATATTTAAAACTATCTCATCAATATTTATTTACATTACATCAAATAATTATTCTAGTTCAAAATTTTATTTGAATGTCAGTAGTTTGTTACTTTAGTCCACTTTGTGATATGACTTCCGTGTCAAACTTCTTTTGTATTTGCATGTCAGTAGTTTGTTACTTTTGTTGATGATTTTCAAATATACTTGATTTTATTTAATGAAAGCTTATCCTAGTTTATTTTACCAATATTCTAAATCAGTTTGGTGTATCTATTAAAAACTTCGAATAGATGATGTCGTCATTTAATATTTTTCTAATTCTATGACTAAAGTTTATTTCATCTCAAGGTATTTTACATCAAATCCTTTTGTGCATACAATCCTCAACAAAAAGAGCTTGTTGAACACAAAAATTGTATTCGCATTGAAACAACTCGTACACTGTTTGTGCATTATAGTGTTCTTTTTTGTTTTTGGCTAATTCTATTCTTACTGCATGCCATCTTCAGTTCTAGAGAATAACTTCCTCATCAAATATTGTTTCCTCAAAATACGTTGTATCATTTACTCATCCGTGTCTTTGGGTGTATTGTATTTTGTTATGATTACTTTTTTTGTCGGGATAAGTTAGTTCCTTATGCATTAAAGTGTGTTTTTCTTGGTTATTTTAGGGTTCAGAAGGGTTATAATGTTTTTCTCTTGACACTTGTCGGTATTACTTTTATTCTGGTGTTAGCTTCTTCGAGTCAACCCCTTATTTCTTCTCTTCGTCTACAATATCATATGTCAACAATGTGTTACCTATTCCTTTTTCTTCCCCTCTTCTTTCAGATCCACCTCTTCATGTTTATCGTCACCGGCCTCATTCTCTCCTTTCAATGCTCCTACCGATCATGCTCCTACAGCCCCTTAAGAATCTCTTGATTCTCAAGACTTGCCATCATATTCTTTTCCTACAATTCCAACACTACCAGATCATGGGCCATTACACTATGGTACTTGTTCTTCTCACAATCCACATCCAAATTAAAATTTTCTTAGTTTTCATCGTCTCTTCCACTTACTATATATTTGAGTCATACTTATCCTCTGTCTTTCTTCTTAACATTGTTTGTGAGGCACTTCCCTATCACAGCTAGCAACAAAGCATAGTGGCTGAAATGACTGATTTACATGCTAATCCCAAGGCCTGGATGGTCAGGTAGCTCGTCGCAAAGACTATTTAGCGGTTAAAGGATTCAAGAAAGTCTTTGGTGAGAATTACACTAAAATAATCTCTCTTGCTGCTAAGGTGTCTTTGATTCGTCTCTTTCTTGCTTTGGATGCTATGCCCTCTTGGCCTTTTCATTAACTGAATATTAAAAATGTCTCTTCATGGCGAACTTCAAGAAAAAATTAATGTTGAGCGGTCTTCTACATTTGTTGCTTAGAGGAAGTCTAGTCTTATCTGCAAACTACGTCGCTATCTATATAGATTAAAACAATCTCAGTGTGTTTGGTTTGATCGATTCAACAATTTTATACAAGACTTTGGCATGATTTGAAATGCATTAGACCATTTTCTTTTTTTTTTTTATATATAAACACACGTGAAGTGGTAACTGTTTATACATTCTTGGATATTGTTACCGGATCTGATCAAGAAGGGGTTACCCAATTTAACAAGAGAACCACTAGGTTTTTTTTGGTATTGAAATTGCTCAATCACGTGATAGTATTGTTCTTTCACAAGAGCAGTATGCATTGGATATTCTTGGAAAAAATGAATTTTCTGACTGGACGCCAATTGACTCTCGTACGGGGCTAAATTTGAACCTTCTTTAAGGACATGGAGAACCACTAGCTTACGCTGGAAGATATCACAAAATGGTATGTAAGCTTAACTATCTCACACTTACTCAGTTCGATATCCTCTTTGTTGTGAGTGTTGTGCGTGAATTTCTTCAGACTCCATGCGATGCTCATTAGAATGCTGCATTTCAAAATTTAAGGTACACCATTGGGTCTCCTAGTAAAGAATTATTGTATACTATTCAAGGTCACACTTAAGTAATTGACTACTCAGATGCTAATTATGAAGTAATTTTAACTTAGACAACCAAATCTCTAACTTGACTGGTAAGTTGAATAACATCAAACATGAATGTAGTGTAACCTCAAATGTACCAACCTATATTGTTCAGGGAGTTTTACCATCCTATATATCAAATAATTTTTCATAATTTTAAAATCTCTAAAATCAATGTATATAGTAAGAAACTTTATATATACCTTTATTGATGTAATGTCAATTTTATTTCACAGTATCATCTATTATTTCAAAAATATGTAAAACTCTCAAAAATATTATAATTAAAAAAATCAAATAACTATCCTCCCAATTTTGCAATTAAGAGGAGAACTGCCTTTCTTGGAAGCACAATGGAACCAAACTATGCTTACTAAACAAAAGTTCAATGATCCAAAGGTACACGCCTTATAACCAACTATTTTTATTTAAGAAAAATTGTTTGTTTAAATTTATCTCTATTACCAAGGAAAAATAAATATGTTACGGTAATGGTGTGGGATTAAGCCAAATGTGAAAAGACTTGGCAATAGCATTAACAAAAGCTATTTGTTAGTTGATAATCAAATGAGAAGATTTTATAGATAAAAATATCACTTAAATCTCCAATTTATCCTTAAATTCAGCTCATGTCATGTGTGTGCTTTTCATATTAGACAAGAGATGAGCATAAATAAGGTCAGAAAGAAACCATAAACAATACGAAAGATATAACTCATAAAAAACTTAGATTCCAAACCTTCAAAGGAAGTTGCCAAACATCATCGGTAACCAAGAACATTGTCGATGAAACAAAAGAACATACAACTGATAATGACATTAATTTGGATTTCATTATCTTCGCTGTGTGGGCAAGAAAGTTCCGATGACAGTTTACTTATTAACAGCCAACATGTACAGGGCACATTGAAGATCTGTTTCTGTATGATTCTAAGTACCTTTAATATATGAACAATATACATCTTTATCTTTTAATTTAGGTAGGGCCGGTCCTAACTTTCGAAAAGCCAAGACAAAAAATAAAATAAAAGACTCCTTAATATATATAAATAATATTTTTTACTTATAATTATATATAAATAATTAAATAAAAAATTTTTTGTCTACATAATTAAATAAGGCCTCTGAATATATATAAATAATAATTTTTTTTACCTATAATAAAATATAAATAATTAGATAAAATAATTTTTTCTAGTATTTTTAAGATGCAAAAATATCAATAATGATATTAATGTTAATTTTGTCTAATATTTCCTATTGAATGCACCAACTTTGAACCCATAACCTCATAATTCTAAATTCATTTCACACCATCAAGTCATATCCTTATAAAATTTTGTATGTATCAAATAATATTTTTATAAAAATGTTCTCTCGCCCGACCTACCATTTAATTAAGTACAGAGTCTAATCCCATATGTATACTTGTGCTCGCTCTTGTTTTTGAGTCAAAGTATTCATATGTAAGTGTAGTGTGATGTGACATAGCTTTACAAAGCTCTCATAATACTACAAAAAATGTAATCATGACGATCATAATAGAGTTTGCAAAGTTCAATTGAATCAATATTGCACTGAGCATGCACATAGGCAATCTGTTGTAGTTGAATTTTATTGTCACTGCACGCATTAAAGCCATAAGATTCTAACATCGATCCAAACAGGGCAAACAATGTAATTATATTAAATTATTTCTTCAGTAGAATTTTCCAAAATTGGAGAAGAACGAAAAGGCGAAACAACGATTAGGGTTCGCAACGGGTACACAGAATTAAGATTGGAAGCATAACAGTAGCAGAGAATGTCCCTAATCAGGGTTCCATCTGGGCGCGGAGGCAATGAGTTGAGAACCCTTTGGATTACTTCATGATTTCGCCACTCATATGATCTCACACATCCTACGGGGATCCAAGAAGTCGCTGATAAGTTCGAACGAGATGCCATTGGTCCGTACCAACTCAATAAATCATGCCTTCTTAAAATGAATCTTAACTACAAAAAAATATTTACCTGAGTACAAAAGTCAGCAAACAACAGATGAAAGAATTAACGTGGAAAGGTCACTTAATGCCGGGGATTTTATTATAAGTAAAATGGAATTACGTCTCAATTAATATCGACCATAAATTCTCGCACACAACTGTGTTTACAAACTGGAAGCGATTTCATATATAACCAAAGTCACCAATTTCCAATAAACCTTAATATATATAGCTTATCATATATATATATATATATATATATATATATATTGGAGAGGCAACTTAGATGATGCCCTCCGATCGAGTGCGTTGTGCCATTTTCAATACCCTTACAACTCTCACTCTTGAGATGTCGATGCTGCATATGGACATCCGCCTGCAGTACAAAAGGATCACATTAGACGTTAAAATGGATGGCTTTAAATAAAAAATCGAATGTCCTTAAAAAGATTGCAACATTTCTGAACTTACACACTTAGGCGCCCAAGAAATCCTTGTTGGAAGGGCTGCCAAAGATAGAGATGTCCACATGCTGTCTGGGGTTGTGATTAGAAAAGCTTTCCAAAGATATGAAGACGCGTAAAATTCACATAAGAGAGATATTAAATCAATGCACTCTTGAGAATTATTGTTTTTTTCAAGAGGCACAATTAATGGCAAATTTATGTGCACAACATCATCCATAATCTCCAAAACTATATGTCCTCCGACTGCACTCTCATTGTGCATGTAAAGGAAATCATAGTGCATCCTATGCATAAACCAAATAAGAAAATAGCATTGGTATTAATACGAAAACAATCAAGAAGTTAGATATCATGCATCCTAAGCTTGAGAATAACTAATAGAAAAATTATGAAACATTTAAAAAACATACGAAAACATATGAAACATTTAAAAAACACTATACTATGATACAAATAAGCATGAAAAACTACAATCCAAAGAAGCAAACCAAAATAAGCTACTGTGAATGGAAGATATATAATCCTAAAGCATAAAGTGTACTTAGAACAAACAATAATGCAAGCACAAAAGAAATAATGAATGAAAGAAAGAAAATACAAAAAAAATAGATAATTAAGAAAGAAAAGTACCTTTAGAATTGCCCAAAGGCACATACAGCCCATGAAAGTTCTCTTGATTTGGTATGCTTAAGTTTGCCAACATTTACCATATTCATAGCCAACCAAGGGAAAAACAGTTTATTAAGAAGTCAATATGGGACTACACCACTTCGGTATTTAAACCCAACTGAAGGTAATACTCTGTTTCAAAATCAATGTGGAAGTAAGCTGCACTGTAACAATGTGAACTCATTAGTTGATGACTAGCTAGAATGAACACTACAAAAAAAGAAAATCCCAAGTTACAATGGAATTATTCCGTCACAACTGGATATTTTCCATCTCAAGTTCACATTGTGATGGATTATACATCTAAATGGGAATAATTTATTGTAATTCCAAAATGACCAAGTTGGATTCCGTTGCAGAAAATTGCAATGGAAGTGGCGACGGAAATTCCGTCACAACATTGCAAGGGAATAAATATGTTGCTAATTCTATTGCAACATTATAGAACATGGCAATGGAAAAGGATCGCTTAATACTTATGTTGCTAATTCCGTAACAAAAACCCTACTTCAATTCAATTATTTTGCTTGTTTTTTAGTCTGTTTTTGAAAAAACTTGTATAGCTAATAATAATTCAATCAAACCCAATTTAAGAACTAATTAATAACTCTCGTCAAACATGTGAAAACTAAACGAAACCATATACAAATTTCAAATCTAAATGAGTTTAATGAGCCACATACATTATAATATGAACGAAATATATTTAGCATCAATACCGTCATTACCAAATATAAAACAAACAAAAAAGTTAGCACATATCATCCAAAAATACATAAAGTCATAGAAAATCAGATAAATTAAGGTTATGCAAGTTGAGCTATATATATAAACCTGATGGAATGGTTATGCAATTCTGAATATACGTGAACATATTGTAAGTTGACTATAATCTGTGTAACAAATTAATGAACACCATCTTTATAATCACCTTCATCATTGAAACCATGGAATCATTCAGTCTTTGCTTCTTGTCACCCCCAAGATTCACCATTTCCTTGTTGTTGGAAGTACGTCGCCTCTTCCCCTTTACCCCAGATTCAGAGCCAACCATTTCTGCACATGGCAAGTCTATGATGATAGGAAGTTCAGTTTCATGTTTTTCATTCTCATTGTGAACATTTGATGTGTTTCCCACTGAATCTAGCTCCTTTCCTACATATTAATTCCTAGTTAAACAAGTTTGCATATAAACAAAATAATATTTCAGAAGCATTAATCATAAATTTTTTATACCTTTAACATCATAATTCGGACTGGTCAAGTTCAAAGAAATGAGAGTCAAATTGACCTTTTTACTAACACTAACTGTTGCATCGGAGTTCCTTGATTTTCTTTGCTGCATATTACAATCAACAAATCTTTAGCATAAGCAACAGCAGTTAGCAGCACATCATCAAGGAATGTAGGATTCTAAAATATTGATTGCGTTTTTTAGAGGAATGCATAATTTGATCATGGGAAGATAAAAAAATGTTGCATACATTTTGAGAAAAATACGCTTCCATATAACAAATATGATATAATGTATAAATAAGCTATCATCTACACACTTTCAATTTTAATTTGGTCAATTTTCACTAGTAAAATAACTAGTTATCCGATAGGCATCATTGTACAAATAGCAAGACTTACAATTTTCTCCACCCCTGAAGAGGTATCTGACAACGGATCTCTGGTAACAAAGTTCAATGCAGGAATTGACATGTTGGATACAGAAATTGCGGATGCGGAACCACAGATTGTATCTTTAGATGAACTATAATGAGTAGCCTTATTTTGTGCTCCAGCTACAACTACTTCCTTCTGATCAACTGCAGATACTTCATCACAATGACCCTGCCCTGTTGTGTCTGCAGACAGTAATTATTGTAATATGTGCAGTGCACTAAACTAAAGCTCTAACAAAATACAAGTTCTCAAAATTATAATGGCATTTAAATAAAAATATATAAGTACAAAGCTTACTATCCGGCACACAGTGTGAGGCTGTAATACCCGGTAAAAATAATTGCCGGAGTCCGAGCCAGAGTCGGACAAATTTTATTTTGAGCCTAATTTATTTTGGGCTTATGTGATATTCTTATTTTAGGAGTTGAAGGATTTAATTTATGTGTTGTAGTAAAAGGGTTTTGATTTGGCCCATTTCACCAAACATGATCTAGAATGTCTTTCATTGTTATCAATATACTTATTGCACTTCAATTAGATAATGGAAAAACAGAAGAAGTATTACCAATTGCTGAAAACCCAGAAAAAGAACAATAATTAGAAAGAATAATATTATATCACCTAAGGTAGAATAATAAAATAACATAATAAAAAAAATAACCATATAAGCAAAGATGAAACAGACATCATAAAAGCGTAGCACAAGCACTATTACAATAACTATATGATATACCAAACCTGAAATTAACTATTAGAGCATCCAAAGGAGATGTTGTAACCTTACCTGATTTTCTCCTTGACAAGTTATAATTGCATAAGGGCCGGATGTGCCATTCAAATTTTCTTCATTAGGATTTTTTGTAGCTAAAAGCTCTATATAAAACCAAAAATCTTATAGTGATGAAACAGAGTTCAAGGAAGCATACACATCCAATATGTTAAACAATAGCAGCTACAGCAACCTAGTCAAAACCAATTAACGCCTCATTTAAATTAATTTCAAACTACAACAACAAAAAAAAAAAACCTAAATTTTCTAGTTCTAATTCCTTATTCAGAATGGTTGGTTACTTTCATTCAGTACTTTTAACACTTGCTCCTCAAAAGTACAGCAAATTTCCGCAATTCAATTCACATATTAAGTTTCTTCAATTTTTCGATAATAATAAGTACCACATACATATAAATTTAAACTTCAACAAAAAACTTAAAACTGCACATATTATATATAGAAGAACAAAACATACTATTCATCCTCATCCTCTATATCTATATATACCGGCTTCAACTACAATTAAGTAAGGAAGTGTGTACGAACAACAAGCAATCGTATATAAATAAATTTAGAATTAGAACAAATATAATAAAATCATGGAAGAATATCGAACAAAGTCTTCATAAGTCCCCGTCGGTGGTGTGTAAACCTTTGAAATTAAGGATCAAAATCGATGTCAATGGTGGGGGAAGTTGCTGCGCGATGGGTGTGATTGGGAAAAGGCTAGGGAGAAATATTTTGCCTATTGTGATGGTAAGCAAATCCATCACAGAATCTTTTGCACAATTGCAACGGATCTGAATTATTCGTGGTATAAAAATTTAAATTTGCAGCCATTTGCAACATAATGTATGTCTCTCCAAATTGTCACTGAATTGGGAGTGAACACATTACCTTGCAAAATCCTTCATAAAATTGGGACCGTTTAATTTGCAACAGAAATAAATTTTCATGCAAATTTCCCACTTAAATGCGGCCATATTGCGACTTTTTACATCTGTCTCAATATTCCATCGCAAAAATAATAAAATGCAATGGATAGGATTTACCGTTACAATTTCCATCGCAAAGTTGCGATGGAATGCGAACCCTGGCAGAATTCAATCACAATTTACGATTTTTTTTGTAGTGGAATTCTTAGAGCAAACTTCTATGGTCATGTGGTACCAATGCCTTGGGAATTAACAATCCTTTAGGCGGAAAAGGATTTTTATTCAAGTAATTGAAAGTCCTATATGTTTGCTACTAGAATTTTCCGGATGTCAGCTTGTCTCTTACTTATTATCACCAAGAGCGATGTCATATGATCATTCAATGTTACATAACATACATGGTAAAATTTTGGAAATCAAGTTAGCTGAGTTACAAATTATCGAACAACGCACTTCAAAATCATATGAAAATCGAAAACAATTATAAAAACAGAGGACATCTGCGCAGATCTACTTCGTGGCTGCCTTTTTCTCGTTCATGACATTCACAGAAATGTATTATCATGTATCTGTACAGATATAACACGCATAGTTAGGGGGAAAGAAAAACTAAAAGAGAAAACTTACCGGATGTTGTTGTATACTGGGAATATTGTTAGAAAAGCTTGCCAAAGACAAATATATGCAATGAATGCCTAGAACATATATAAAGTCCATATTTGGTCACAATAGAACTCCCGCATTCCATCCACGCCCTCTCCCTCTGAGCTCCAATGTTTCATCACCGGCATGAGAATAAGGTAAATCCAACTCTTCCCACCTACAAAAAACTATAATGAATTGATATATATATCACAGGAAGATCACAATTTTAAACATTTCTGTCATTAATAGAAACCAAGAAAAGAAAAACTATTGTCCAGTTATATCTTCTTTCTCTGTATGTGTGCATTGGAAGGTCTAGGACTCTAGGCTAACACATGCAAGTATTGACCTATGTTTCCTATACTGATTGATTATCTTCCACAATAATTATAACGATAAGTTTATATAAAGCACATTCATAAGCACATTACATATTAATTAATTAATTTATGAGAATAAGTCCCAACCCTATCACAATCATCAGTAGCCTAGAAATGGCTGATGATTTGAGAGTAACTCTGGGATATTTACTCGTTGTGCGGATGGTAAAGTACATATTAGAGTCATATTTATAAGCACTCAGATCAGCGATCAAGGCTTCATTTATCCATACATATATAACTAGCTGTTATTATACGATCGAGAGCTCTTCTATATAATCTGTCCACTATTCAACCAATCGTTACAATTTGTTACATAATGCTGATTTCTTAATCTAATGCTCTTCGCAGCAATTCCTTCTCTTACAAATTTACACACACACACAAAAAAAAAAAAAAAACCAAAATGAAGAGGAACGGCCTACACATAAATCCGCAATTACAAAAACCCTAAAACTCAGAATCGCCAAAAATTGAAGAAAGTCGAAAAGGCAACATGGTGATTAGGGTTTGCCGCAACTCACCGACCTGCAAAAAATCAAGATTGGAAGCGAACGTCCCTAATTAGGGTTCCAAAGGGGGCGCAAAAGCAATTGAGAATTTTGGTGGTGTTTTCTTATGGATTTCTTTTATAATTGTTACTATATATATTTTTTTATAAAAATAGTAAATTAAATAATTATTTTTTAAAAAAAAATTTCATACTAATATATTAAAACACAATTATATATTTAAAATATTATATTAAACAATTATTAAAATTTAAATTTTTTACTGTTTAGAAATTTAAATTGAAAAATCAAATTCACAAACAAACTAATCCCTTATGTTTTCATATTAAATACACGATTTTCATTCCACTCAAATGTATTTTTGAGGTATTATAATAAATTAAAAAATAATAATATTTTATTGGTGATTATAAATATGTGAAAAATTTTGAAATTCGTATATATAAAATAATTGGATAAATAATTGTAAATTTGTATTTAAATAAAAATTAAAAATATTTTTATATTACAGTATAATTATTTTTAGAGTTACTTTTGACCTGTATAGACATAGTTTAAATTGGGACCAATGGAGTATAGATTAATTAATTTTATGTTTTGCAAAGAAAGCTTATGTTTTTATATTAAAATATATAGATCATTAATTTTATGTTTGTGAGCTTTTAGTAATTAAATTTTCGTCTAACGAAGTTTGTGTAAATTCATGATTTTTAAGCATATTCATAATACTCTTAAACATAAAACAATTTTGAGAATTTGAACCATGGTTGAAAGCAATATATGAAGAAATATAAGAATATATGACCATGGAATATGTTACCGTATTCATAGAACAATTTTATTTATACTACAAATAATTATACTGTAGATAATGACTTAACTCGTGACCATGAAGTCATGAGTTTAGACCCTATTCAATCAGACTTTAAACACACTCGAAATGTAATTCCCATGTCATAAAAAAAATGTACCATAAATTGAATTTTCACAAGACATTATCTGTCATTGAATTGATTATTGTACTAGTCTCTTACACATTTTATTTATTTATTTATTCACTTTTTCCATTGTAATTTCAAATCAAATTTAAAATATGTAATAGTTTTTAATTAAAGACATATAAATACAAACGATTGTATCAGAAATTGAATTTTCACATCGCATGTGTTTATTTGTAAGATTTTGGTTTGAGGTTTTGGTTTCAAATAGTAAAATTTTGAATTGAATAATTATTTGAATAAATATGTATTAATACGATATTTTTAATATAAAATTAAATTTAATGTACAATAAAAAATAAAAAAAATAAGTGTTTGTTTTGATATTTTTTAGGGAAAAAAAAGTTAGAATAGAAAATCCATGTGTAAAATCTTACAAGTAAAACTTTTATTGAATTGATTATTGTACTAGAGACCAAATTTATTGTACTTCTTTAAGGACATGGAGGACCACTAGCCGATGCTACAAGATATCACAAAATGGTAAATAAGCGTAACTATCTCATACTTATTCGGCCCGATATCTTCTTTCTTGTGATTGTTGTGTGTCAATTTCTTCATACTCGATGCTCATTGGAATGCTACAATTCAAATTTTTAGGTACATCAATGAGTCTCCTAGTAAAGAATTATTGTCTACTACTCAAGGTCACACTTAAGTAATTGACTACTCGGATCACTACAAAAAGTTATCTAATTAGCTACAATATTTTTAACTACGAATTTGTTTTTTTAGTTAAAACGTGTCATTTAGCAACAAAAATTAATTTCATCGCTAAATAAATTATATACTACAAAATTAATTTCGTCGTTAAAATTTTTTTGCTAGAAAAATCTATTTTCATAGCGAAAGGGTTTTAGCTACAAAATTAATTTTCAAAACTAAAACCATTTGGCTAAAAAAGTCGTACATATTTTGTTGTTAAAACTCTTTCGTTGTGAATTTTATATTTATAGCTAAAGAGCTTTAGCTGCGAAATTATATTTTCGTAGCTATATCTCTTTTATTAACTCTCATTGTAAAAAACTTATGTTTTATTACGAAAGTCATATTTTCCGCCAAAGACCTTTACTAACGCGATATAGGTTATGAAATAAGTTTCGTCGCAAAAATATTTTTTCCATGAATTCATTATTTTTTGCTACAAAAATTTTTGTAGCTAAATTTTAAGTTTTGTGTAGCGGCGATGTTAATTGGGAAGGATCCTAATTTTAACTTAGACAACCAAATCTCTAACTTGACTCCTAAGTTGAATAACATGAAACATGAATGTAGTGTAATCTCAAATGTACCAACCTATATTTTTCGGGGAGTTTTACCATCCAATATGAAGAAATTTTTAAAATTCTCATAATTTAAAATTCTTTAAAATCAATGTACATATGAAGAAATTTTTATATACCTTTCATGATATAATATCAATTTTGTTTCAATGTGTCATCTATTATCTTTAAAATATATAAAACTCTCAAAAAAATTATAATAAAATTTAAAATATCAAATAAATATGCTCCCAATTTTGCAATTAAGAGGAGAAATACCTTTAAAACGTAGATGCTTAAAAGCACAATGGAGCCCAAAGTATGCTTGCTAAACAAAAGTTTAATGGCCCAAAGGTCCACCTCATAACCAACTATTTTTATTTAAAAAAAGTTGTTTTCTTAATTTTATTTGTATTACCAAGGAAAAATAAATATTTTAATATAATGGTGTGGGATTAAGCCAAATGTAAAAAGACTTGGCAATGGCATTAACAAAAACTGTTAGTTGATAATCAAACGAGGAGATTTTATCGATAAAAAAATATTACTTAAATTTCCAATTTATCCTTAAATTTAGTTCATGTCATGTGTGTGTTTGATATTAGACAAGAGATGGCATAAATAAAGTTGTCAACAATGTTAATTGCTAGAAAGAAACCATAAACAATAAGAAAGAGACATAACTTATAAATAACATAGATTCCATGTTGGACTAAAAATCCAAAGTGTAGGTTAAATGTAGTTACTAGAGCTATCAGGCACATTAAACATAAATTAAGTGATCTATTAATTTTATTGGGTTTAAATATATTTAGTATGAGATATATATTAAAGTTGTGATCCCAGGTTTAGGTGTAACAACATATCTTATCGTGAGAGTAACGGCAGAATAAAACATTTCATAAATTTTTCGGACTACGATATATGATGAAATCACTAATACCAAGAGATTCCTTGTCGAAATTAAGAAATGCTTGACCAGAAGCGATAAGAGGGAAATGAGTACTCTTCTTAAGAGTCTCATTACCATAAAGTATAAAGACAAACATAACATAAGGGAGTACATCCTGAACATGTCTAATATTGTTACTAAATTGAGGGCACTTAAGTTACACCTTTCGGAGTACATATTTTTCATACTGGTCCTGCTATTGAAATTAATTTAATTTCATCTTTTAGACACACCTGAGGGTGGATTTAGGTGTAACAACTCACATCAGTATGTCTATATAAGGTTGTCTTTATTGCTGAAAATCAATTGATGATGAAAGATACATTTATATGGGTGATGAAAAGAAAGTTCAAGTTGAAATCATTGGCAATTTGAGATTATTATTAAATACTAGTTATTATTTGTATTTGGGTGAGACATATTTTGGTAACATCTTTAGTCGAACTTTAATTTCAATTTCTATTTTGGACAAATTTGATTATTATTGTTCATTCAGATATAAAGTTTTAGTCTATTCCAGAATTCGAAATTAATTGGAACTAGTATCTTATTTGATGATAATAATCGTTATTTGCTTAATTGTATGGCTTCACATAATAAAATTTGTTATTAACATATTCATATCGCTTCCATGATTGCGGATCCATTTAATTACTAAAGGGTTTCCATATAAGTTCTATCGTGAGCATGTTGCTCGTTTGAGAGAGAAACCATATTTTGATATTTCGCTTTATTGGGAGTTGATTAGGAGTGTTCAAATACTATTAAAGTTACTTTATTTTATAATGCAGTATTCAGTATGCACTGTTCTTTATTCAGTTTTAATTCAGTATTCAGTTGTTCTGAATTAAGGTTACGTGGATCAGTTGGAAATATACATGTTAAGATCACATTACATGAAATTTCCATGTTGTGCATCCGCACTTAATCGAATCTTGAGTTATATTGATGTTGTGACCATAGATCGGTCCCATTGTGATAAATGCAATGATGACCGCTTTGATCCGCATTGATGTGATTTACATATAAGATTGGTAAAATACACTAAATGATCTGATAACAAACTTTTCATAAGCTCATAAGGTTATTCAGTATACATTTACCCAAGTGGGAGATTGTTGGATTAAATGTAACTATTTGGGCTATTAGACAAATTAATTCTATATTAAGTGACCTATAAATTTATTGGACTTGAATGTATTAGTAAGTACGGGCCTCCTATGTGCATAAACCCGGTAACTTATTTATTAATTGAGTGATAAGACCAAGTATTAATAAGGGATATATTAGGGTCGTGATCCCAGATATAGACGTAACAACCATTACTTTTCATATTTCAGGAGGAGTTGTGCCATAGGCTTGAAGAACACAAACATCCCTCCTTTGATTTGCAAATTCGAATCCGACAACACTAATGGAATCATGACGAGGACGTCCAATCTTCAAACATTCAAATGCCTGTGGGACCCATCACTCGAAGCCGAGCTCGTCAATTTCAAAAATTCGTCACTGTATTGATCAAACGATTTTTCATGGAGAATCAATTTAAGGATGATGCTTGGAGACTACTTAGCCGTCACCTGATGCTCCTTCAATGGGACCCGCAAGAATCCCAATTGAAAGATCATGAGAATCGCTAATCATGGAAGATTATCAAGGGAATCATTACTTATGGAGAGAATCACTAATCATGGAAGATTATCAAAGGAATCATCACTTATGGAGAGAATCGTTAATCATGGAAGTATATCAAGAGAATCATCACTTATGGAGAGAATCGTTAATCATGGAAGATTATCAAGGGAATCATCACTTATTATGGAGGCTTCTAGAAGTACCTTAATATATATTTCCTTTTATTATAAGTTTCCATATATT